GTCAATTTTGTTTATTTTTTCAAAAAACCAACTCTTGGTTTCGTTGATCTGCTCTACAGTTTTTTTAGATTCTATATTGTTTATTTCTGCTCTGATCTTTATTATTTCTCTTCTTCTGCTGGGTTTAGGCTGCCTTTGCTGTTCTGCTTCTATTTCCTTTAGGTGTGCTGTTAGATTTTGTATTTGGGATTTTTCTTGTTTCTTGAGATAGGCCTGGATTGCAATGTATTTTCCTCTCAGGACTGCCTTCGCTGCGTCCCAAAGCGTTTGGATTGTTGTATTTTCATTTTCGTTTGTTTCCATATATTTTTTAATTTCTTTTCTAATTGCCTGGTTGACCCACTCATTCGTTAGTAGGTTGTTCTTTAACCTCCATGCTTTTGGAGGTTTTCCAGACTTTTTTCTGTGGTTGATTTCAAGCTTCATAGCATTGTGGTCTGAAAGTATGCATGGTATGATTTCAATTCTTGTAAACTTATGAAGGGCTGTTTTGTGACCCAGTATATGATCTATCTTGGAGAATGTTCCATGTGCACTCGAGAAGAAAGTATATTCTGTTGCTTTGGGATGCAGAGTTGATGCAATATTTTAAAGGCACCAATATCTAGGGGTATCTAGTCAGCTCAGTAAAGCATGTGACCCTTGATCTTGGGGTTGTAAGTTCAAGCTCCACATTGGGTGTAGAGATTACTTTAAAAAGAACTTTAAGGGGCGCCTGGGTGGCGCAGTCGGTTAAGCGTCCGACTTCAGCCAGGTCACGATCTCGCGGTCCGTGAGTTCGAGCCCCGCGTCGGGCTCTGGGCTGATGGCTCAGAGCCTGGAGCCTGTTTCCGATTCTGTGTCTCCCTCTCTCTCTGCCCCTCCCCCGTTCATGCTATGTCTCTCTCTGTCCCAAAAATAAATAAAAAAAAATAAATAAAATAAAAAGAACTTTAAAAAATCCTTACGTGTGTGTGTGTGTGTGTGTGTGTGTGTGTATACACAACAATATCTACTAACAATATTGAGCATTGCATACCTAATGATTCAGCAGTTCTACTCCTTTTATATATCAAACAGGAATGCATGTGTTTGTGCATTGAAAGACCTATGTAAAAATCTTTATAGCAGTGTTATCCATAATAGCCACAAACTGAAATAACCCAAATATTTATCAATAGGAGAATGAATAAACAATAGAATATTTATATAATAGAATACTATCTAGGAACAAAAAATAGCACACTTTAGCTATGAACAACAGCATTGTTACATGTCACGTAACAAGCCAGATGCAAAGATGATACACAAATAATTTCATTTATAAAAACATCCAAAATAGGTAAGACTAACTTACGGTGAAAGAAGTTATAACAGTGGTTACCTTTGAGGGGTAATGACTTAAAGGGACATCAAAGGTTTGGGGATGTTAGAAATGTTCTATATTTGGATCTGGGCAGTGGTTACTTGGATGTGTTGATATGTCCATGTGTAAGAATACATTAAGCTGTACACTTATTATTTGTCTACTTTTCTGTATGTTATTCTTCAATAAAAATTGTACTTAAAGGGGCTCCTGGCTGGCTCAGTTGGTAGAGCATGTGACTCTTGGTCTTGGGTTAAGGGTTCAGGCCCCATGTTGGAAATAGAGATTACTTAATAAAAAATAAATAAAAATCTTAAATATAATTTTTTATTTAATTTTTTTTAACGTTCATTTATTTTTGAGACAGAGAGAGACAGAGAATGAACAGGGGAGGGTCAGAGAGAGGGAGACACAGAATGGGAAACAGGCTCCAGGCTCCGAGCTGTCAGCACAGAGCCCGACGCAGGGCTCGAACTCACGGACCGCGAGATCATGACCTGAGCCGAAGTCGGCCGCCCAACCGACTGAGCCACCCAGGCGCCCCTATAATTTTTTATTTAAATGATAAAAGTGGCTAGACCTCTAGACCCTTCTTAACTCTGAGCAACCAGGTAACTCTTCCTACCCATTTTATGCCTTTTTTCTTTATGTTGTTATTTTGGACCAGAGGTACACAACATTAAGTTCATCATAATCCTCTTTTTGTGGCACCTATCACTGTTGGTCTGTGCCAGGTTCTTTGAAATTTTTTTGGTTCCTGTTTTTTTCTTTTTAAGTTTATTTATTTTGAGAGAGAGTCTGTGCACATGCAAGTGGGGGAGGGGCAGAGAGAGAATCCCAAGCAGGCTCTGCTGCCAATGTGGAACCCAATTCGGGGCTCGAACTCATGAACCATGAGATCACAAACTAGGCCAAAATTGGTTGCTTAACTGACTGAGCCACCCAGGAGCCCCAAGTTCCTCTTTTTTCTTTATTCACCAACCTCGTTTCCCTCAACCTCAGAGATATTCACTCTCACATATTTAATTGGATGACCTTGTAATTTATCATCCACACTTTCATTTACATATACTTTTTTCCATGAACAACATATTATTGCAGTCTTTGCTAGTTTTGAAATATATATAAAGACTTGTGCTATACGTCCATTCAACATGGCTTTTTACATCTCTCTGAGTCAATATAAGTAGATCACGTCCATTCTTGCTGGCAGCTATAGAGTATTATACTATACACACATACACACACACACACACACACACACACACATACACACACACACTATTTATTCATTCTCCTTTTGATGGATATTGATGAATATCTCCTTTGATATGTAACTGTGTTGTGATGAAGATCTACTTAACTTTTTTCAGGTCTATGTGATAATTTATATATATATAAATAAATATATTTATTTTTGAGAGAGAGAGAGAGTGGGAGAGGGGCAGAGAGAGGGGGGGACACAATTCGAAGCAGGTTCCAGGCTCAGAGCTGTCAGCACAGAGCCTGACACAGGGCTCAAACCCACAACTGTGAGATCATGACCTGAGCTGAAGTCAGATGCCCAACTGACTGAGCCACCCAGGCACCCCATGCCTAAACCCATTTTTAATTAACATTCTCAAATTGCTCTCTTGAATAGTGTATTAGTATAGCTCCCACCAGTTGTGGGAGCAAAAAGTTATTTTCTCACATCCTAGTTGATGTTTTTCAAGCCGAATATTTTTGCCAATCCAATGAGTATAAAGTTATATCTCCTTGTTTTCATTTGTATTTCTCTGGTTACTAATAAAGTTGACATCTCTTTATGTGCTAACCAGCCATTTGAGTGTTCCCATGGACAAACTACCTATTAATTTCTTTTGTAAATTTTTAAAAATTGGACTTAGTATGTTTTTAAAACCAATTTACAGTAGTTTCTTGTGTCTATTTTAGATGAATATTATACATATTAATCATTTGTTGGTTGTTAAGTTGCAAGTGTATTTCCCAGTCTGTTGCCTTTCTTTATGAATGGTAGTTTTCCACTGAAAAGAAATCTTTCCTTTTGATGACCGCAAATTCATCATTTTTTCTTTCTATGATTGCATCTTAAGACATTCTTTCCTAACCCAACATTTAAAAGGTGTTACCCTTCAGTTGTTTCTTTTTTTTTTCAACGTTTTTTTTTTTAATTTTTTTTTTTTTATTTTTGGGACAGAGAGAGACAGAGCATGAACGGGGGAGGGGCAGAGAGAGAGGGAGACACAGAATCGGAAGCAGGCTCCAGGCTCTGAGCCATCCGCCCAGAGCCCAACGCGGGGCTCGAACTCACGGACCGCGAGATCGTGACCTGGCTGAAGTCGGACGCTTAACCGACTGCGCCACCCAGGCGCCCCTCCTTTTTTGGATACAGCATTTGCCAAGGATTTGCTTCTTCTCCCCTCCTACACACACACACACAATGGGCCCATCTATTAAATATTCTTTCTTTCCCACTCTGATCCTTAAAGCCACCATATAATGTGGGGCCCTCTTGGGGGACTCCATTCTGTTCCATTATTCATTTATCCATTCCCATGCCAGTATCACACTGTTTTAATGATGATGGCTTTGTGATATCCCTTAATACGTGTGGGGCAAATCTCACTTCTTTGGTCCTTGTTTCGAAGAGTGTCTTGTTATACATGAATTTTACTTCATATAAAATATAGAATAATTGTACAATTTTTCAAAAGTTCTGCTAGGATTTTTATTCCAACTACATTAGACTTACACATTATATTATTAATTTGGGTAGAATTGACACCAGTACAGTATTAAATAGTGCCATCCATGAAAATGGCATCTTACCCTGTCCCCGGCCCCCACCCTTAATTTATTCAGGCCTTCTTTTATGTCCTTGAAGAGAAATTTAAACATTTTTCTCCACAAAGGCCGAGCGCATTTCTCTTACTGTAATCTCTGGACACTTTATATTTTCACTGATGTTGTAAATATCTTATTTTCCATCTTTCTATAGCATTTTCTAAATGATTATTGCTCACATAAAGGAAGAGGATTGATTTTTACATTTGATTTTGAACATGGTCACCCGCCTGAACTGTCTTACAAGTTCCCTTGGACTTTTCTATGGCAATGGTCATATCTGCTGCTCCTTCCAGTAAACACGCTGCGGACTAAGGAAACTAAAACTTGGACGGGAGCGTCTCAGGACACACCTGTTTCCTGCCTCCAAGAGCCAGCGAATCCTGGGCGGACCGCTCCGCACCCCCGCCAGGTGGACCCACTTGACCGCCGAGCCCTGGCCGCTAGGAGGCCCGAGCCCTGCCCGCAGCCCCCGCCCCAGCCAATCGCGGCGCCGACCCGCCAGGCTGGGCCCAAGAACCAATCCGCGACTTCTCTCCTCCAGAGGCCGCTAGCCCCGGGGAAGATAGTCGTCGCAGGAAAACTTACCCCGCAAGGTGGCCCCGCGCAGATTTACGCGGCGGCCCCGCAGTTACCTGCCCCCGGGTCTCGAAGCCGCGCGCCTAGTGCCGGAGCCTCGCACCTTCGCGGCCCTCCAGCTGCTCTGGCCCGTCTCGCCCATGGCGGTGGCCGCGCTCTACACGCAGGTACCGAAGGGCGGGTGCGCGGTAGGGAAGATGGCACGGCGCTAATGCTGACTGTACCTGGCGCACAGCCCACACCTGTGCACCTGGCGCGCTCGCCGCAGGGACAGGTCGCGGAGGGCCTGGGGATCGGGGGCACCGGAGGGCTCCGGCTCCTGTCCGCGGGGGAAAGCGCCTCCGCCCCGCCCCGGGAGCCTGGGCCCCCTCGGAATGGGAAGACCGAGTGCGAGGGGCTGCCTTCCCGGGCCCGAGCTTCTCGGTGCCCCGGGGTCGCGCGTCCGTCCCCACCTCTCGTGCCTCTCGGTCCCCTCTTCCCGAGCCACAAGTGAAATCAGAGTTGCTCACAGGGACATAGAAGTCTCAGTCACGGGCAAATAATAGTATCCATAATTCTCCTGGTCCTCCTGAGAGCCCTTGAACAAGAAGCTTAGGACCGCAGTATTCAGGATGCTTTCTAGAATTACTGGGTCTTCAGAAATGCCTGCGCGCGCATTTAAGTTCATCTGATGTCCAAAGGTGCGGCTGTTTGCGCGTGTGGGGCAAGCTTCACCGGTGCTAGAAATTGAGAGCTTCTGTGAATCCAGGGGTCACAGGCTCTTCACCTAACACTTATACGTCGCTTCACAATTTATAAAGCACTTCACATACACCCTGATTCTGGGAGTCACTCTAGAGCATTCCTCTGAAACTACCTCTTCCCCAGGGCCAAGGACTCCACAGCGTTCTGACACCCAAAACCTTCTGAGATGAGCTTGGCTAATTGTCTGGATGAAAAATAATTTGAAAGTGTTGGCCCTTTTGAAAAAAAAAAAAATTTGAAAGGCTATGAAGGCAGATCCTCTCACACCCCAATGGAGTAAAATCTATGTTTCCCAATATTCAAATGGATGACACTAGAATCTGTCCATTTCCCCTGAACATGCCCTTGCTTTATATTTAAAAAGACACTTTCCTGTAGATATAAACAATAGTTGTAAATAATTGTTTCACAGCTGTTTAACCAAACTTTTTTCTTCTACTTTACTGAATTAGTAATACAAGTACAAACCATCCAAATGCCATTGTGCCCTCCAACACCTTTCCACTAACTAGACTTCCATATGGGCAATGTTTGAACCATGACTCTTCTAGAATAGTTTATCAGTGAGAATGTCAACCATCAGATATCTGACAGTGCTTCTGAGGTCTTCAACTTACTGGAGGTGAAAGAAAATCTTGGCACAAGGCAATTCTTGGAAGATACTTTGGAGAACAGAAAATTGTTGATGATTAACCTCTTTTAGGTAACATTTTTATTCCAGAAGCTAAAATACACAGGTGTGAGCTTCCCTATCATCAAGACCTTACACTACAAGTGTTTTTAAATAGCAACTAGGTAGCAGGCATAATGTAGGAAAACTGATATGGAAGAGTTTTCTAGAGAAGAGCTTGGAAGGACAGAGAATCTGAGAATCCCAAGGCAGAGGGAGTCTTGATGGGCCACCCTACCCATTTGGTGTCCAAGTAGACACCTTTGTTCTGAGGGTATCTCTTCTGTTCCAGGTCAGTCAGTCCCCATATTGTCAGTTCCAGAGGTGGGAAGCTCCCTGTTTGTGTAGTTGCCTGTTTAGGTTTTAAAGAGCTTGCTGTGCTAAGAAGTTCTTTCATTTTTTTTAAGTTTATTTATTTATTTGGGGGGGGAGGGTGGGGGGCGGCATGCGGAAGAGAAAGAGACAGAGAATCCCAAGCAGGCTCCAATCTGTCAGCACAGAGTCCCACACAGGGTTCAAAGCTACTGAACCGTGAGATCTTGACCTGAGCTGAAATCAAGGGTCGGACATTTAACTGACTGAGCCACCCAGGTGTCCCATGTTAAGGAGTTCTTTCTTAAACTGAAATAAAATCTAAGCCCTCTCCCTTGCTTCCCTACCGCTTCCTGCAACCCTCCCAAGTCCACAGATTTAGCCATTTGTCCTAGAATGCTAGCATACAGGATTGGCTTAAGCCAAAGTTTGTGACTGGGACCCTTGGCCTCCTTTAAGCTCCAGAAGTGCTGCTTCTCTGCATAATCTTAGCCACACAACATTTTAAAACAACTTAAAACCCATTTCTGCACCCAGGAGCAAATACTGACTCTGCAGCAGGGTGATGTGTGGACTGTCCTTTCTGGAACCCCTGTGTGACAGCCACACCCATCCATGATCTCCAGGCTACCTCATTCAGTCACTATATACACTGCTGTTACCTGCCTATCCCCTGTCTAATCTCCCTTCCTGCTATGCCTTGAAGACGGGCATATTATCTCCCCTAAAACATTTATTTAGCACTTTCTGTACATGAAACATTGTGCTTGGGGGAGGTTAGAAAGACTTTTTTTAAAGGGTAGTCTTTCCTCTCAAGGAGTTTTTGAATTAGTGAGAAATGAGAAAGGTCAAATCAATCTGCTGAAGCCCTAAAGGCATGGAGGAGCCTACTGGCTGATAGAGCTGAGAAGGGGAGGGTTGTGCCCAAGAATTAGATCGGGGCTTTATACTCTGGTGAAGATTTTGAGTGGGAGAAGATAGGATCAGGGGCTGTGTTTTAGGAATTTGGGTACACTGGCAATGCCCATGACACTCAGATAGCTGAATTCTCAGGTCATCTTAAGTGTCCGGGAAAGAATTCAGGCTGCAGTATTGGACAGGGCAAAAGGAGACACAATCCAGGGAGCCTGTGGAGATAGGTGATGATAAGACTGGACTGGGGAGAGGGAGAGGTCAAAGATGACTGTAGAGGTCAGAGTCTGGATGATGAGAGCAGGGGGTGCCGTTGACACAGGCACAGCAGGAGGAGGAGATCTTAGGAAAGTCAGGAGGCAGAATCTGTCCCTGCAACAATTGAGGTGGTGAAGGAGCTTCTAGGGGCCAGTGCTCTGGGAGGTTAGAGGTTGGTGGAGAGGTTGGGCCAAGAGTCTTCTGCCCAGAGGTAGTAGTTGAAGCCCAGGGAGTGAGAGCCTTGCTCAGGGTGAGACGAGAGCCAAGACAGGACACTGGGAAATACAACTATTCAGAGGGGCCCAAGATGGAGCCATCACAGGGAGGAGATGGGAGAGCTGGTAGGGGAGCATAGGAAGAGAGTTTCTGAGAAAGAGGGGACTCCTGAGAGGAAGTGTGGTAAGAGTAGCAGTAGCTGCCGGGATGAAGTGTAAAATGACCCATCTCTTTCAAAAGCTATTGGCAACATGCCCTGGAAATGTTGAGAGCGTTTGACCCAGAAGTTCCATGATTTAAAATCTCGCTGAGAAAAACCAGTTTGGCCATTCACTGTTGGAACCTCTCTGGAGGCCCCTGTCACTTTCAGACTCACTGACCAGCCACAAGGTTCCACCTCTGCGTCTCCCCACTGCCTGCCCACTCCTACCTCAGCTCACTCTGCAAATTTCCGGCCATCCCTTGGTGCATTCCTGCTGCTGGTCAGCACTCTATGCCTTGGCTTGCAAGACTCCCTGTGCTTAAAATAACTGCTTTGTTCAGTAGCGCCTCACCTTCCAAATTCAATTTGAGCAGTGTCTTTTCTGAGAAATATTTACAGCCAGCTCCTCTGGACACCTTGCATGTTGATTTGTCAACACTCATTAACTGTCTCCCCCATTGACCAAGAGTTTCCAGAGAACAGGGAACAGTGGGGGCTTAAGCAACATTTAATGTGTGCGCGCATGCATGAATGAGTTTTTCTGCTTTCAGAGAGAGCTGTGGGCCTGAAGAAGATAATGATGGTTACTTGTATCTTGCAATCATGGAGCACTTCTTCTGTGCCAGATGCCATCCTCAGAACTTTATATACCATCTTTCATGGTTTAATTTTAATAAGCGGTGATATGTGTAGATGTTGGTATACCAATTTTACAAATGGCTCAGCTTAGGTAAATTGCCTAAGATCACATAGAAGTGGAGGAGGAGGCAGGATTAAAAGCCTCTGTTCTTTTTTTTTTTTTTAATGTTTATTTACTTTTGAGAGAGAGAGAGCGTGCATGAGCAGGGGAGGGGCAGAGAGGGAGGGGAAGACACAGAATCCAAAGCATGCTCTAGTCTCCGAACTTTCAGCACAGAGCCTGACATGGGCCTCGAACCCACAGACTGCGAGATCATGACCCGAGCCAAAGTCGAATGCTTAACTGACGGAGCCACCCAGGCGTCCCAAAAGCTTCTGTTCCTAATACCTCCCACTACCACAACTATGGTTCAACCACCTTTACCGTCTTCCTCCTCTTCAAGGGAGGAAGGACACAGAGAACTCATGGGAAGTCCATCCACTTTATAGTTGTATATTTGCTATACGTGAGTATGGTTTTTTCATCTAAGATATTGGGCAAAGTGGTAAGTGGGCAGTGAGGCAGAGAACTCTATGGCATGCCTCTAGAGATATTTCTTAAATTGTTCTGGCTCATTAATTGGGACTCAGGTTATACCTGGTTTTAGCCACAGATTCACAAATTATATTACCCTTCAGTCACTTACTACTCTTGCTTGTGAATAAGGAACTCACGAGACATCTGCAAGGAAGTTTTGCTAGAACTCAGATGTGCAAGGTGAGAAGTGTCTTGACTAGCAGTTCAGGATCTCTGTCTAAAATAAAGTCAAAGTTCAGTTTAATGGCTTTCCATTTGGCCAATGTAAGAAGCTTTTAGACTTCTATGTATCATTAATAACTCTAGAAAATTAGAGGTATCCATTGTATTATATATGGGTACTTCAAAAGAGTAAAAAACAAAGTATATAAAGACTAAAATACCAAGTTTTGTCTTTAATTGGTGCAACTAAACTGGGAATTTGAATATTTTGTTCAATAGATGTTTATGGAATGCTGGCTATGGGGAAGTTATTGTGTTGGGTTCCAGGATACAAAGACAAGGCTCTTAAAGCTCAAATGCCAGTGAGGGGGGGGGAAAGTTACCTCAAAACCTCTGTGTCCCTCTGGGAAGGGACAGGGAGAACTCTAAAGAGAAAGCATTCAATCCTGCCTGGGGTGGAGAGCAATAGGGAAAG